GTGGTAAGGGAGGGAGGGTGGCTACAAATATCTCTTCAGTATTGGAGGGTGAAATGTACTGTGGGTATTGCTGGGAAGTAATGCTGTGGAGATAGGTCTATGTTATAAAGAAACTTAAATCCAATATAAATGAAAAGTCTAATCCTAGGGAGAAGTCTTAGAAGTAGAAAAGCATGGTCAACTTACTATTAAGTTCAATAATTCTTCAAAGTATTAATAATTTCTACATCTTACAATACAAATTATTTAACAACACAAACATTGTCAAAATAACACATTATTTGTTTCAATATGGTTTTAACATTATTCAGTATATCTACTTCAATAAATGTCAAAACTCCCGCCAAATAAATGTGAAAAAATGAAAACAACTAGATGTTATTCTATTTTCTATGCATCTCTTTGGAGTTTTCTTTTTCCTCCACACCTAGTAATAAGTGAAAATGGTCATCAAGAGACAAAAGTGAATGCTTTCAAAGAACAAATCCGTTTCTAAAATTGAAGGATACAGTAATAAAATTTCTATGTGGAAAAAACTGTCACCTTCATAGATCTGAATACTATATAGACCTTCCAAATGTGTATAAGTTCTGCACAATTCAAATGGTTTTTCACTCTATGAAGAAAAGAAAAATGTACTACCGGCGAAATTAAAGCAAGCACTATATTGTATCTTTTAAAGCAATTTCTGTTTCCTGTAAAAGCTTTCCGATGAAAGAGTGCACACTGACTTTTCATTAAAGATACATGACATGACCACTACCAATTGTGATCTGAGGCTAAAAAGTTTGTTTCCAAAAATCTCCCCTTGTAAGGATAAGTGACCACTAGAAAGATAGTCTGAGAACTTAATATTCCTTTACCCCAACTATTTTATATTGCACATGATAACGGACACTTTATATTAAATTTTATCTGTATTTATTTACATTTTAGTACCATATGAATTATAAATATTCTAGAGAAAACCAGGAAAACTTTTCTGTATTCTAAAAATTTCAGATCTAAGAAACATGGGCATGAAATCTGTGTCTGGACTATCTCTCTATCCTTCACGGTACCTAACAGTGAGCCTTTAATAGTAAAAAAAGTAGTCCTCTTGAATACTTAAGTCTTCCTTGTCATAAAAATATTTTCCCTAGGTCCTATTTATCATTTTTCCTTCATTGAATTCATAGCCAAAAATTCAGAAAGGAATCTACATTTTCCCTTACTTTCTCACCTTTGAATTAACCAATTATAGTCTGGTTTCTGTCAATATAGGGCTTTCAAAACATCTCAATAGCTACCTAAATGTAAAATCCAACGAACCATTTATGATGCTTATCCTCTTTGAATTGTCTGGAGTTGATATTCTTTACATGCTCCACTTTTTTGACTTGAAGGAATCTACTCTTTAATAAATCTCCTCCAATTTCTATTTCTTCTCATTTACTTTTTCCTCCTCAGACGGTATCAAACATTGGTATTTCCCAGGGTTCCAACCTTTATTCTCTACTCTTCTCTCTATAAGCACATGCTTGTGTCATGGCATAAAATGTACCTCATAGACTGACCCCAATATATCTCTTTAGCTTTCTCTCCTGTCGTTGTGCCAAACAGCCTGCTTTTAATCTTCAGCAACACTTACCTTTTACTTTCAGACCTAATTTCCCTTGACTGTGCTATTTTCTCTTTTAAAAAAAAAGATTTCTAACTATTCTCCCCTGTGAAACTACTATGCTTTTTTTTTTTTCCAAAATACTGTAAAAATGTCACTTTGTCTATAAAGCCTTCCACTCTCCCACCAGGAATCAT